CTTATTTTGAGGGGTCAACAAGGTGATTAATGAAAATTTTCCTAATTTCCCTTAGTTACAAATTATTATTACTCATGTAAGTAATCTTTTACTAGTTTCTCGAAAGGGTTAATATAAACTTTGGTCCCTCAAATTTGTCCTCATTTTGGTTTTGGTCCCTCAAATTTGAAATCATAGGTTTTGGTCCCTCAAGGGCAAAATGATCCATATTTTTATTAGATTATAGGGGCTAATGTTTTATATGATAAAAGGTTAACAAGCTAATTTACATAAACCAAAAAATGACAAATGACAGTTATATCATTAAATGTGCTTGAAAAGTATAATAAGGACTAAAGGAAGTATATTACTACCTTTAGTTCCTATTTTAAGAGCTAATTGGGGGTTAAGTTTGATCATAATATACATTTTATCTTTTGTATTTATCTTTTTCCCCCCTCAAACTATCCAAATTAATTGTATGTGTTAAGAGAGTACGCATTAAAGGGTAATTTCAATGCAAGTAATTTAATAAAGTATTTCAGAAAAACCAATATATATTTTTGACAAATAATTAATTTAATTAGTTTGTTTAATCTAGCCAAATTAGTTAAGCATATATTATATTAATTACTTGTGTAATACAAAGTTTTGAACAAAGGGCTTTGAAAAAGTATATTAAAAAAATACTGTTTGTTACAATATTTTTCTAACAATATTGTTGAACAAATAAGCATTTTTTTTCTTTCGAATAAGTCCTGTAGAAGGAAAACAAAATTAAGTCACATTAACAAAGAGAACCTCATGGCCTGCGTTCAAGTAATAAGCCTAATGGCCAAGCTAATTAGCACACTTTTACTTGCTTATCTAATTATCCTTCTGGTCCTAAATGTAGAATATAGCTAGGGGTGAATTTTGATTTTAAATATAAAATTTTAATTCATTTTAATTTTTATATTTATTAGTTTTTCAAACTAATTTACCTAACTTATAAATCAATTTACTCCCTCCATCCCTTTTTATAGGCAACAACCACCATCCCTAAATATAAGTAACATTTACAAGTTGTCTTAAATTTTTATAGCAAATTTTCTATTTTACTCCTATTAAAGACTTATTTTAATAGTTAATGTATTTATTTTGTTCCCCAAAATATCATTTCTTAAATAATAAATGTTCTGAAGATTAAATTTTAATATAATCCCTATCCATCACACAATCTCTCTCTTTCATAATTCTTTTTATTATAATAATTTTTTTACTTTCTTTCTTATACTTTTTATCCCATAAATAAAGATATTTTGAAGAAAAAACTCAATCTTTACATATTTATTGTCTTTAACCAATTTTAACTTACTTTTTTTAATCTTATACTGCAAAAAAGGATAGAGGAATTATAATCTAATGTTAAGCGGCATTATCCTTGGAGATTAGGTGACACATATTATAACTAAGATTAAGAACTACAAGATTATATGATCAAAAGTAACTACACAATCATACAAGTTGGAGAATGGATGTTGAGGATTTTCCAACCAACTTGTAGCTTATCAAACTTGACACTTGGTGGGTCCTCAGTTAGCATATATCCCCCATTTACTTCTTTATATGAACATATTCCAAATTTGCAATTCCGTATTCAAGCTTCTCTTCCAAATTTGCAATTCCATATTCAAGCTTCTCTTTTATGAAGTTCTTCCTACGATGATGTCTTGGGAATACCGGCTTTGTTATTACGCAACAAGACCCTTTTAGTTCAATTTGCACTAACCCTAGCCATCACCATATGCTTTTTATTTCTCTGAGATACCCTAAACATGGTTCACACAAGAGATCATAAACGACAATGGTGTTCTGAGTGATTGGGGTTCCATCAACTGAGGAGTACCCAGCTCTTAAGAAAGCCTTGCAATACATTTAGACTCTACTTCAAATTAATGACGTAAAATGGGTGGCACTTCATGGACAAAAAGGGGTGGGGGAAAACAACAATAGTGCAACACTTAAATAACCACTTTTATGATAGCATTGACATGTTATTCGATATGGTAATTTTATATGATGGAACACTATAATAATTAGATTTATAGTATTATTTTGCTATATTAATAATTAAAATTGTCACATAATATATGTGTGTTTTTGTACAGTGAAATTGTATATCCTTAACTCTAAAGAATATGAAGGTTTTAGCATCCCAAATAAATTAGAGATAAAAATAGGATATACCAGGTTAATTTTTAGTTAAATAGGTCTAAGCTTGTAACAGATATCTAAGGTATAAGTTTGCATATATGCTTTTTTTTAGGCTAGAGTTTGAGCCTTTAAAATTTTAAAGGCCTACGTAAAACATAGATCTTTAAATAGGTTTAAAAATTTATATATAACTTTTCAAACCTATTAAAAGGCTTATATTATGTCTTAAAAATTTAAAATCCACTCTCAATTGCAATATAAGAGTTCAGTAAGGGAAGAGAAAAAAAGAATGCGTGTTAACAACAATTGTCTGAGAAAGCAGGAATAAAAAAAAACCAGTCATCTGTTGACTAAAGAAATATATTTTCTAAAACTAACCAAGCACAACAAGTAGTATGTAAAACTATATTTTACTCTAATTTGGTTTTTCTACATAAACTAGAGCAAACTCTTTCCATTGAGGATATAATATTTCATTTAGGCATCACTAAAATAAATTTACAATAATTATAATGGTTTAACGAACAATGCAAATCAGGAGAGAGTGAGTGAGCTAGCATTTTCATCTTGAGTGATCAAAAAGAGAAGATGTAGAGGTAAATGAAAGGATTGATTTTATATATGAATGTTGTGATGTGAAACTTAGGGTCAAGTCAAAGCTAGTAATTATTATATTATATATAATAGTGCAGGTAAAAAAAAACTAAATAGGCCATAGACTAGGTCTTACTAAATGGGCATGAATATAAGTCTGCCATATTTAAAAGGCTTTAAATAAATTAAGTCATATGTTTCTGATAAGGGCCTAGTCTATTTTTCCTCCTAAACAAGTCACAAAATTTTCAGCAATTAAGAATTCTTTTTAAAGAAAACAAATATACAAAAGTAATGTGGTCATTTGACAAAAATAACTTAATTATAGACAAGGGACTTCATGGAAAATAGGGCATTTAATGGAGCTAATATAGGATATGCATATTTCAATGATATTTTTGTGTCATTCTCCTTTTATTAAATATACAAATGCTAGACAAAGTTAAATACTTCTAACGGCATTTTCTATAGAGGAACCTTCCCAAGGTGTAGCGCACTTATCCTATACAATAAAGTCTAATCACTTTAAGAAGACACAGAAAATTATGCTTGAGAGAAAAGAAAATTATTGCGTGCAAGTTCTGCTTAAAGTGAAAATACATCCTAATTGAAATCCAACGTAAGGAAGTAGCCATCGCAAGTTATCAAGAATTAGACAAAAAAGGCTGGTAGAACTTAGAAGTACTCCATAATTCGATCACATTGATGTTAATTAAAAACGTATATGGTTTACCTAAAGTTGGCGATTTTAACTTCCATTTCCAGCTACATATTTATAATTTTAAACCATAGAAAAAATTAGATCCAGCTGCCTGCAATTTTTTTTTTTTTTGCTTAAAATCATGTCAATACTTGATTACACCAAATAAGAAGTGCTTTATGTTTTTTTTTTTTGTGTTCTTCTCTGGCTTGGTATTAAATTTCAAAAAAATTAAAATCAAGATGAGTCATATTATTTATAACTTGTGATTTATTTATGATTGGGAGAATGATGCTATGTTAATGGCTAATTGCTCAAGTAATAATACCGTCCACCATGCTTGGATACTTTCTCAGGTTTGAACGCAGCATTAACTTATTTATGTGTTTCTATTTAATTGCATTAAATGAAATAAAATCAAGCAATTTATTTCGTAAAGTCTGGTAAATTAGGAAAATATTATTTAAGAAGTAAGGGACCTCAATGAAATTGAAATTTAAGATAAATTTGCATAAATGCTTTTCCTCTTTTCTGATCCTCCCCTCCTTTTGCTAAAAACTTCTACAACCGCAAAGCTAACTAACACTTCAAGACATTTATGGGGCAAAATTCATTTTTTTTAATACTTTTGAACAAAACAGAAAAAACCTATTCTAAAAACTTTACAAGTCAAAGAATAAGAACCTACACTTGGTTTTTTATGCGCAAAATAATTTACTCTACAACCAATTTTACAATATTCACTACTTTTTTTTTTTGGGGGACTTGCTAGTCGTTTACAAGATTAATTTGATCTTTAAAAAAGTAAATTTTGAAAGTCCAAATCGTCTCGACCCTTTTCCACATGAAAAATCTAACACGTAACAATCAAGGGACGTTCGGTCTTCACAATCCCTGGCCCATTTAGGAGACCAGTAGGAGTTCACAGGAGCATGTTTGTTGAAATCCACGGGCACGGAGTTCGTCAAACGTTTAGGGGGGCATTTGGATGTTTTTTAAAAAATATTTTTCTAACCAACTTCTTCATATATTTACTTTACTTTTAAAATCATAATTTAGTCTGTATTCAAACACCCTCTTAATTTGATAGTTTCTATGTACAAAATATGAAACCGTAGCGTAGCTGTCTTTAACAATACCCTTTTAAAAAGAAAGATATTAGACGTAAAGGAGACCATTCAATCTCAATGACGAATATATTGAGAAAGGAACCTCTCATCTAATTGTCAACACATTTGACATTTTGATGTTTCTAAAACTGGTCTATAAATATTTTGAGATATTTAGTACATTTATAAAGTCATTAAATTAAATTTTAATAGTTTGTGTTTTCTTATTAATTTATTTTTATAATTTTACATTTCAATAATAATTTTAAAAAAATTAACGTCTGAACCGATTTTGGGAAGGAAAGACTCCTTCCGGAGCATATTGCCATGAATATAATTTAATTTGCAAAGTATACGATTTATTTATTTCAGCAGCATAGCCATCGAACAAAAATGAGACGAGAAACCAGAGAAAAGTACATCAAGATAGAATAAAGCTAACTGGGTTCAACTTCGAAGGCATGTTCACTTATTTACATAAAATTCATCAGTTATAAAAATCTATCAGAAGATGACTTTTGTTTTTTTTGGGCCATATTTCTGTTGATAACATTTACAAGAAAACTCAGGACATTGTTTAACATATTAGCAAGGATGCAAATGGAAAATATGAAATAGCAAAAGCCTAAGAGACAAAAATTTACACAACCTATGGTTGGTCAAAAAGAGAAAGAAAACCTGTAAGAACGAAAAACTCAGTGTGAACTGTCAGAAACCCAGCCTGAGACAATACCATCATCTACCGGTTTCGGACCACCGCAAGACCTTGAGACTGACTCAAAAAGCTTTTCGATTTCTGGGGCACATCTTATGAAGGACCTATTCCAGAAGTTATATCTAGGGTTCTGGAAATGACAACAAACGCAGATTAAAATTTTGAACCGATCATATTGGAATGAGTATACCCAAACAAAAAAAACCAAAAAAAAAAACAAAGAAACAAGAAAAGAATACCTTGATCAGCTCAATGAAAGTGATGAGCAGGCCCCATGGATGGGGTCGATTAACAATAAGGCGTTCTAACAAGACTCTGGTAATTTGTTCTTGAATAATTTCCTGCCATGTCAAAACAAAACATTCAGTTACCTAAACATGCACTGATCCCTAATAAGAAGGATTCCGAGTCTGATCATTTACCATATGAACATACTTCACAAACATTATTAGCTAATAATACCACAGCTTGTCGAGGGCAAAAAGAAACAGAAAACCAACTGTCGGACACTAAGCAAGTGATTTGGGCAAATATAACCTTTCACAAGAAAGTTGACTGAACTATTCTGTTAAGATGTTGCCATTGCATATCGCATGTGTAAAGAGAACAATGACGAGAATAATTTCAAAATTCCAGAAATCTTGACAGATGAGAATGGCTCCCAAAACATGAATGTCAGTAATTTTAAAATCAAGGGGGCAAAGTGTCGTTTAGCCCTACCCAAAGCCAGATACTGGAACAAGGGTTTTTTTTTTTTTAAAAAAAAGAAAAAAGTCCTAAGAAATTGTCATTCCACAACCATCTGAATGAATAGCAAAGTGCAGGTCCACGATTTCAGATATGACAACTGACGACAGTACCTATACCATGAGCATTTTGTCCAAAGTATTGTACTCGATTAAGTTTAGCATAAAAAAAGTGTCAGAAATATATGTTCACCTGGTTTGATTCAGCAAACAAATACAGAAGGATGAATGAAAAGTAGTGTGTATGAGTATTTGGGTAACGTAGTTGATTTGCAATAGCATTCAGGAAAAGGTAGCGCCCCTCAGTGTCCAAGTCCACAATTAGAGTCTTGAAAATATCCAATGCAGCACCGACAGAAAATACAGACAAAGGAAATGCCCCCGCAGCTGATTGTGCATGTGGAGTTCGTCCCTGCAATTGCTGGATGGCCTGCAAGATAATAGCCCAAAAAGAAACAAAGAAGTAATTTACTCAACGCATGATATTGGCTATAACAAAGATTCACAAGATCCCCAAAACTTGAAACAAGCAGCTGCCTCAAAGACACAACTGCTTTACATTAGAAATTTTAAAACAAGAGGGGAAGAAATTTAAACGGTACAGATCTATATTAAGTAGTTGATACATAAACAATTAAACAGTTGAAGACGCTTTAACAAAATCCTACATACTCTTGAAAATCAGCGGAAGAGTTTATCAAACCGAAATTTTAAAACATACCTGCATTCCAACATATAACACAAGTGAGTTTATCAATGGAACATTGTAACGGGTCCCAGCAGAGACAGCTTCATTAGGTGAGAGGAGCACCTTCTGCTTTAGCTCGGACAAAAATTGAGAACCCTGCTGCTTTGTCTGCATATATTTGATCAATCATGAGTGAGCCGATAATATAGAAAATTAAAAACTTTGAAGCACTTTTTGGGGTCGGGGGTAGGGTATCCTATAAATACCTCAATGGAAGCATCCCAAAATGTCATTATCATCACTAATTCACCATAAAATAAAATCACAAGGTGGGATATTTACCTTCAAATATTCATCTACATCAGCCTTCATCTGCTTAGCCTTAAGTGCTGCATCAACCTCCGAAAAGATTCGAGGGGATAAAGTTATTTCTTGAAGCAAATCAATCTGCAAAGGAAAGCAAAAAGGTAGCTGTCACGCCAATACTCAGTACTACCAAAAAAGAAAACGTAGACAGGGAGATTCCAAAGACCTTCAAGTTAGGCGTGGATGGATCTGGCAGCCTCATACTACGAGGAAAAGCACTTAGAATAATATTTCGCATTTGTATGCAGCTAGGAGGAATAACATCACAGAAGGTAAAATGGTAATCACACAAGAACTCGGGGAAGTCATGAAGCAGCACTAGGAGCACCCTAAGTGTGCCTTTATAGAGAAAATGAACCTGAAGAACATAAAGGGAAAAGAAGACAGAAAATATATACAAATAAGACTCGTTACCATGCTTTCACCATATAGACAGCAAACAACGAGAGGGATACAGTTACAAACCGGTGCTCCAAGTTCAGCATGCCTCAAAAAAGGCTCCATGAATTGGAACAAATCTACAAGCAACCTTTGAATGTAAGGCCAACCTTTCTGACCATTACCAGTCAACATCTTTGGTAAGAAACTCCTGTGACTTATCAACTCAAGCCATACAAAGCTGTAAAAAATGTTTTAAAAAAATTAGATCAGAAACATACCCTCACAGCCTCATACTAACAGAATCCGAAAGTTGCAAAAAGAATAACATAAAAACTGTTATTTAATAAACAAGCAGTTGTTCCAAACGAAAGATATATATAACATTATTAACAAACTGAGCAAATATTAACGATCCTGAAAAACAAGGAGACGTGTGATCCTACAGAGAACAAACTATGCCTATAGTTACTGGGAACTACTGAGCAATGTTTTTCCCCAATATTTGTGGGTCTATTCTATATAAGTTAACTCCTAGGGACGCTTTTGTACATATTCTCATCAGCTCTAGGGATGCTAATGTAAATTCTCCTAAGCCTTAGGCCTACAGAGTCTCCTCACTTGTCAAGGAATTAGAGAGCTTCATTCAATAGAAAATTTCTCTCAGCCTTTGTTTTATGGTCTTTGGTGTTAAGTATGAAGTTTCTCACTCATATTCAGAGACCTCTCACTCATATTCAGAGACCTCCAATCGCCTCTGTTCTGTACAAAATCCGGAACTTGTTCCCCATTAAACATCACATATGGCTCTGATCCTATTGTATTGGCTTCAGATCAGACCAAATAATCAGGAACCTCCAGACATCATCTTCTGGACCAACCCAAGAAGCCAGAGCTCCAGACCTACCACCATGCATTAACATGCGCAGATCAAAAAATCCCAGTCCACTCACATGCCAACATTTGAGGGACCATGAGCCCCTACCTCTCAAATTTCCATTTCATGACATACCTAAATGATGGCCATTTTAGTAGAACAGCCATTTCATATCACTGCAGGCATAATTTGCATATTGAATGACAAACTCCTGGTTAAATTTAAGCCACCAAGCATGAACCATACCCTTTAATGACCTCAAAACAAGACAAATACATGATTTTGTAGAAGAAAAAACTGGCAGAGACAACACTATCAGGCAAATAATTACTGACTCGCTAATCATTGATTCAGAAACAGCAAATGTTGATGACAACTCAGTGAGAAAGAACATACAAGCATGATGCAGAAACAAATGCATGCATACAAGCAAATAATATTCCATAACAAAAGCTCTTCCAGAACAGCAAAGTTCCAACAACCTATAAATAATTAATATATTTTAAGTCAAACCTGAATCCAGGAACGTTGATGGGCTGCAAAGCATGAAATGCGTTGGCAAAAGCAGTCAAGATCTGCACGACAGAAAGTATTAGTTGACCATGCATGATTGTCTTGAAAATAATGTTAGCAAGGCTGAGTTGCTAAAAGCTACAAAATGACAAATTGCCCAACCAATCAAAACAACTAAAGAAGGGTAAAACCGACCAAAGTCACAAAAGCTTTCCATAAAATCCTTTGCTAATAAAAATTCAAACTGAGTGCTTCATATAAACTGACAAACGCAGCTGACATCATATAACACAAAAAAGTTCCATGA